ATGGGCACTGGGTACTGTCAGCCAATGTGGAGAGCCCTGCACTCTGTGTGTGGCAGAGGGAACACTGGGTTGCCCTCGAGTATGTTTTAGCCTCTCCTTATTTTCTAGCTACATAACTGAGGTGGGATTAACCGCACAGACAGAACGCTTTAACGTTAAATCTTAAGTATAATCTGAACGTAACACTTTTGGGAGCAAGAGATAGAATTAGCCCATTTGGTTAAAAAAAGAAAAGCAGGATCAAAATGTTCCCATTTTCAAGGGATTATAAAAATTAATTCCCAGCTGGATGGTGTTGGCAACATGCAGAGGCAGAGGCAGGTGGATCTGTGGTTTAGAGGGAGAGTTCCAGGAGAGCCAGGGCCACACAGAGAAACCCTGTCTTGAAAAACCAAAAAAAAAAAAAAAAAAAAAAAAAAAATTACTGCGTTTTGAAAAGCTGGAAAATATGGCTGTAAGGAACATTGCTGGGCAGATTTCCTGTGGAGTATTTGCCTGTCTGTCTGTCATAAGCTACGCCTCCTAAAGCAGAAGTAATCGACTTTCTTGTTTTGCTCCGTTTGTATGTCTGTGCCTCAGCTGCATGTATTGACTCTGCAACTAGGAACTGAGAGAGACTAGATGTCACTTGTCTTTCTCTCTGACGCTGATGCCCTGGTACTCTGTCACACAGATCCACTTGTCAGTAAGGAATGGAGGTTCTGGTTGGCCTGCCTTTGCTGAAATTAGCTAACAGACAAAGCTCTGTCCCTTGGTGGAGGTGAAGAGACCAACCATAGAACAGACTTGGAAGAGAGATAAGGAGTGGAGTTAAGGTCTTAACCTATTGAGTATAGACAGTCTCCCAAGAAGGTTTGTGACAAAAGAGAGCAAAGAGGGCCAGGCATAATGCTTCATGCCTGAAATGTCAGCATCCGAGAGACTGAAGCAGGCAGGTCAGGAGTTCAAGGTTGCTCTCAGGCTCGTTTTGAGGCCAGCTTGGGCTACATGAGACCCTATCTCAAAAAAATGAGAGGGGTTAGGAAGATGGAGAGAGAGAGCACAGAGAGACAGGATGGAAGGAAAAATAAAATTTATTTGCTGTGTGTGTAGCTCAGAGGACAACTTTCAGGAGTCAGTTCTCACCTTTGACCTTGTTGAGGAGGCAGGGTCTTTCTTGTTTCTCTTGCTACTACACTGCATAATCCAGGCTGCCTAGCCCTTGAGCCTTTGGCCCATTTTCCTGCGTCCCACCTCATGGCAGGGGCTCTGGGGTGGCAGATGAGTGCCACCACAGCTTTTTACATGGGTTCTGAGGATTCTGAGGATCCGGCTTAGCTTGCTTGGCTTGCAAGGCTAGTGCTTTATCCACTGAGATGTCTACCTGGCCCCACAGTGAGAACCACACCGTATTTTGTGTGTTAATGAGGGTATCTGTCAGTATGTATGTGCACTACATGCATGTTGGTGGCCTGTGGAGGTCAGGTGGAGGAACCAGACAGACGCCCTAGAACTACAGCCACAGACAGCTGTGAGCCACACTTACGGGCATTGGGAACTGAGCCCAGGTCCCCTCCGAGGGTAACGAATACTCCAAAGGGAGACATCTCTTCAGCTCCTCTTTCCAGATTCTTAATCTTGTAGAAAAACAAGGCAGCAAACCTGCTGAAGAATGAGGAAGGCTTTGGACAGTACGACATCATTTCTGGTCATCGCCATAGATAATGCCCTGATAGAGTTTAAGCCTTGGAGTGCTAACTACTTGAATTCCTCTTGATTGGCTACAGCTTGATCTCCACAGGCCTGTGAGGTTATGCCTAATGATAGGTATGTGTGGTCGCTAGCCCCAGGAAATAAGCCAGTGCTGCTGACTCAAGCCCTGATCCATTCTTGTATTTGGGAAGCACTCAGAATTATGGGCAAAGTCCTATACAAGACACTGGAGAGCTGGTCAGTTAAGGCAGTCATCACATTGCCTGTGACATACAGACAGACAAGGGGGAAAACGGAGAGCCGGAATACATGCTAGACATGGCCACATGTCAAGAAATGTTGAAGCCAGGGGTGGTGGTACACGCTTTTAATCCCATCGCTCAGGGAGGCAGAGGCAGGAAGATTGCTGTGAGTTCAAGACTAGCCTAGTTTACAAAGCAAGTCTAGGACAGTCAAAGCTACCCAGAGAAATTCTGTGTCGAAAAACAAAACAAAAAACCAAAACAATAACAAAAAGCCCCAACCAACCAACCAAACAAAATGATTGAAAGGAAAGAAATACTGTTGTTATATTACTATTTTCTGTGCCAGGGAAGTGAATTAGGGAGCTCATGTATGCGTAGGAAAGCATTCTACCACTGATTTATATCTCCAATCCTGTGCAAAGGAAAAAGATGAGTTCATCTGGTAGACAACTTGGCAAGTAAAGGCCACCAAACCTGTTGACCTGAGGGCAACCCCCAAAAACCCACAGAGTGGAAGGAAAGAACCAATTTCTACAAGCTGATATCTGACTTTGCAAGGCCTGAGTTCAATCACCAAATCCCATGTAAAAATGCCAGGCATGGAGGCTGGTAAGCACACAACTGGGGAGGTGGAGAAAGGAGGGTTCCCAGGGCTCACTGGCCAGCAGTCTACCTACCTGGTGAGCTCCAGGCCAATGAGGGACCCTGTTTCAAAGAAAGTGGATGGTGTTCCGAAGATGACAGCCTAGATTCTCCTCTGGCCTCCACCCACATGCACACAGGCACACATGGATATGCACATAGATATACAGGAACATATACATACATACATACATACATACATACATACATACATACATACATTTTGTAAGATTATGGGACAAAATTAGTTAAATAAAGACGATTAGGCATATGACAGACAGATCTTATATATAAAAGAGGTTTATTAGGTGGATATGGAGTGAGAGAGAAGGGAGAGCAGGGAGAGCAGGACATGATGGGGGAAAGAAAGAAAGAGAGGGAAAGAGTGAGAAAGGGGGAGAGGGGGACCCCATAGGAAAAGGGAAAAAGGCCAAAAGAGGAGAGACCAAGAGAGGCCAAGAGAGAAAGGACCGAGAGAGAGAGAACCAAGAAAGGGAGACCATGTGTCGGGTTGTCTAATTAAGGGGCAAGGTAATCACGCCTTCCAGGTGTGGCCACCTGGCCAGTGACCTATGATGAGATCATAAGTTGCTTGGCTACCCAGAAGCAGGTTTTGTTCCAAAATCCTAACACATTTGATAAGTGAATGAATGCATTAATGTGGAAATCACATTTAATCTAAAACCTAAAAGAGCAGGGCTAAGCCGTGCAAAGTCCAGGAGAGTCTTCCAGACAAAGGGGCCACAAAGTGTCAAGGTGTCAAGGGAAGAAAACTTTCTCTTTGGAGCCTGAAAGGCAGTGGGGTCCAAGTGCTACAGGAGAACTTACAGAGTATTTGACTCATTTGATGTGAGACATGCAGAATAGGTAAATCCATGGAGGGCACGTTAGCTAGAAGAGGTAACAGTAGGATGAGGACCGACATGCAGTATGTTGGAGGGTTCCGTTCTTGGGTGATTAAAATGTTCTGAAATTAGAGAGCAGTGATGTTAAGTAACTCTATCCTAAAGCCATTGTATACTTTAAATGTGTGATTTAATCTGAGGTTACCTGGCAATTATGATGTTTTTAAAAAGACAATGTAGTTAACATCAGTGTAACTAGGGGTCCAAAATGGCTTACACAGAATTCCTTTCCTGGAAAGTAGAATGCCATCCTGAAAAGCCTGCAGCAGTTTAATTTTACTCACAAATTCTTTGCATATCTAGCCGTCATGTTCCTATTTTTAGCATGTAGCAAACAAATTGAAACTATTTTTGTCACTTCTCGGCCTTTTGGCTAAGATTAAATGTAACTCTTTTATAGAGTGGAACAGTTAAGATTATAGTTCAGCTACAAGTAACAGGGTACTCTACCCCTAGCACTTTGAAGGCAGAGAGGTGGGCAGATCTCTGAGTTCAAGGCCAGTCAGATCACATAAACCAGCTTCAGGTCAGCGAGACCCTCTTTCAAATGCAAACAGACACGCATACAGACATACGTGAATGTTATAGTTCGATAGTTTGCGATGGTGGTGACACTCCAGCATCAGGCAGGAGGATTTCAAATTTGGGGATGTCTGAGATAGATGGCAAAATTCTGTCCCAAGAACAATTAAGAACAGATGACTATGGCTTTTATAAGCCATTCAATATATACTGTGTGGCAGATTCTGGACTTTCATAGCACTATTACTTTGCTCAATTAAGATTTTTATATTGTAAAGTAAGCTTTTGTCTGGCTAAGCTGGCTTTACAAAGGGTTTACTTAAGCCGTTGTTCAACACGTTTCTCAATAATTCGAGTCTCTAATTCACCGACACTTTCAGATTCTATCAATACTCTCGAACACACTTAAAGAGGAGAGCCTCTCCAAAAGAACAAGGTAAAATAAAATTAATGTAAGTTCCTGGTAGTTTCCTTTCATGGGCTTTCCTGGGGGAGGGGAAGAGTGGAACAAGGCATTTGTAGCAAGGTGCTAAGTGCTCCCCGCAGAAAGCACACGTTTTGTCCGATTCCTGTCTTCTCCTAGTCCCCGGCTTGCAGCATCCCGGAGGATTTCCACGTCACTAGATAGCAGGAGCCACCTGGGAACACACCAGCGCTGCAGAAACCCTAGGCGTGGAAGAGCGCCCTTGGCAGGCAGAGCTGCGGATTGGCGCATCTCACCCTCAGCTACCCTACCTGGGCCCCGCCCACCGCGCCCCTCGCCTGCGCGCGGTCTCCATGGTGACGGGCCGCCCCGCCTCCTCCTCTTAGCCTAGCAGCCCCTCTCGCCCCTCCCCCCGCCTGGCGCCGCTTAGGGGACGGGGGGTGGGGCAGGGGGCGGGGACAGGATGCAGGCGAAGAGGAAATCGGCGGCGCGACGCCCGCTGCTTATTGGCTGCTGCCTCCGGGAGCCAGAAGCCCCGCCTTCCCAGCGAGGGTCACGTGATCCCTTTCAAAGATGGCCGCCCTGTTGTTTTGATGAATAATACTTGGTGGGGCGAGGGGGTAAGGGTAGGGTTGGAGGGGTAGGAGGATTTACGCTTACAGCGAGAGCTTCGCCAGTCCCATCCCACCCCTCCCCCCTACCAGGGTTCCTGCGTGGAGGCGGGGCGAGCCCGGCCTGCTTTTAGAGGGGAGGGGCTTCCCGGTGCGGCGCTGGGCTCTCCCTGGGCTGCCGTGGGGTCGCCGCGCCTCGGGGCATCCAGTGTGCAGCGGAGCCGTTCCCGCCAGGGCCAGGGGTGGGACCCGGAGCGGGGTCTGCGGGAGAAAAACGCAGCTGCCGCGTCACCGCCGCGAAGACACGGCGCGCAGCGGGCACGAGCCGAGCTGGAGACCGCGCCGCCCGCCCTGGGTAACCTGGGAAGCTGAGGGGAGTCAGTGGCGCCCGGAGGGGACCCGGTAGCAGCGGCTGTGGCCAGAGGAGGCGGCTCGGGACGCTTGCATCTGGAGGAGGCTGGGGCGATCCGAGCGACCGAAACCAAGGCGATTCAGTGCCTCGTGTTCTTAGTTTTTAACCTCTGACTATGCAATTCTGAAACCTCCCCCCTTGGGGGACCAGGCAGCCCGATAGATACCTTCCAGTCTCCTTTGCTCCCTCCCTGGTCTCAAGAACCGAAGGATCTCTCTGACGCCTTTCACGATTAAGAGGAAAGAGATGGAGGAGCTGAGCGCTGATGAGGTGAGGGGGCTGGGGCGTGGGGGGGCACCTTGAAAGGATTACTTGGCAACTCTTTGGCGCTTTGGACGGCGACGATTTTGCGCTAGTGGTGTTGGGGTTTTGGGATTGGGGAGGCAGCGGAGATGGTATTTTCAAAAATAATGAAATATTATGAAAGTAGTCATTCATCATCAGGTTGGTTGTATTTTAAGAAGCCCTTGCTCCACTTTGGGCTACGGTCTTTTCAGTATCTTTACTCAATCACTAAAATTCTCCTGGGGTAGAGAATGCAAGACCCTGGGAGGGGGTCTCTCATTTTATTCTCCTTAATTTTTTGCCTTCTTTCTTCATTCGGAACTCCACTTGCTTTTCTTTTAGGGTCTGAAGCCGAGGAGAACATCTTGAAGGTGTTCAGTCTTTTTAAAAGGGTATTCAAGAAAGAGGGGCAAGATTTAGATCATGGTATATTGTGTGTGCCTGTGTCTTCAGCAGTTTTAAAGAACAATTTTACATTAAATCATTATGTTTAATGGTTGTTTTAAAAGGAAGTATTTGAAATCCCAGATACATGTGGCTATTTCATTGTATAAATTGACTAAAGGTACCTTTGTGTTTGAGGGGTAGTTACAGACAGATTCCTTGATAGTTAACAAAGTGTATGTCCTTAGTAGTTTAAAATTTAGTAATTTAACAAGCTACTAATGACTTATGGTATTCTATTTTATTTTACTTTTGTTAGGACCCCTCCCTCTTAAACTTTGGTTTTGCAGCGTGGGGTTGTCAGAAGAGCTGTGGCAGTTAGGGAACAAGGAATTTCCTGTGACTCAGTTGACTTTTCCCTGTCTTTTTACCAATTGAAAGCATTCTTTTCAAGACCCCTGCTGACTTAATTTCTTTCACTGCTTCACGTCAGCTTCCCCTGCAGTATTACGAAAGTAGGCATCCGTCATCAGGTTGGTTGGAAGAGGCCCATGCTCCACTTTTGGCTATGGTCTCCTCGTGTTTAATCACTAAAATTCTCCAGGGATGGAGCATGCCATGCACGTGGGTGGGTGAAGGGTCAGGTAGGAAAAGAAACAATTTTGTGGCTTGTGATACTTTAGTTGTTAAGTCAGAATTGTTCATTTTGTGTCAACTAACTTAGTTTTCCTCAAACTACAGAAGGAGTGTAATGCTAAATCAGAAAAAGTCCTGAGCATTGATTTAGAAACACTTAGTTTTATGTAGTTTTTAGAAGTACCTTTATTCTAAAGAGACACAGTCTGTTTTCAGTAGTCCTTTCCTTCCGAAAAGTACTTTTTTTCTTATGACTTGTAAATAGTTCTTGGTTTAGAGGCCTTTGCAAATTTGAGTCTTTCCTAAATTTTTTTCCCCCCAAACCAATAAAGTGTGTAGACTGGTCAAAGATACTGTGTAATCTGGAAGGTATTTTTTCATTTTGCTCAGTTCTTGACATGTGTAACGCTTCTAGTGACCATAAAAGGAACACGTACAACCTTTGTGGAAGAAAGAGAAATTTTTTTCAAGGACAGCGGAGCACTAAAACATATATGAAAAATTAAATTCACTAACACAGGATTAGTATAAAGGTTTTGTCAACAAATTAGTTGGCTTGACCACAATGACAGTACAATTACTGGTCATTTTATTCTCATTAGAAGCTAGAACAAAATCTAAGCATTTTTCTTTTTTTTTTTTTTTTTTTTTTTTGTTTTTGCGTTTCACTGTATAGCCCTGGCTGGCCTCCAACTCGCAGGAGATCTACCTGCCTCTGCCATGAGTGCTGGGAATTAAGTAGTGTACCAACTTGCCTAACTTTAATCTAGTTTCTTTAATCAGGGTTAGGTGTGCATTAGATGTTTTCAAAGGTCTCTTTGTCTTTGTGTTGTTACTCATTAGTAGAAACTTGTATCACAGATATTGTAGGTGATGTTGATTTGGTTAAAAAAAAAATACCATGTGTTTTATTGACAGTTCAAGGATACATTTCAGAATTAAAACAGTCATGTAAGTGTCTCTTCACTGCAAGTTAGGAAATTGGATGAAATCAGAGTTTCCCATTTTAATAAAACCGAAAATATTTGTGAATACAAGCTGGAAGAATAAAAACTGGTTTAACTAGACTAGGTTCTCTCTCGGAGGTCACCTTGAGTTCTTTCACATCTTTCTGTCGTAGTTGAAAAATTGTTTAACTGCATTGGTGTGTGTTATTTACGTGGGCTGTACAGTGAGTTCTTTGCTTCACAAGGCAGAGTTATGACTAAGTTCTGCCTCTTGAAGAACTTACATTCCACAGCATCAGTGTTTACATCATATTCATGCTATAGCTGGCGACTCACGTGTTTTCTTGCATCAAGGCAATGCTGTAAGCAGGGCAGGCGTGTAAACAGCCTTTCAGCAGTGGTGATGAAACTGCTTTGAAATGATTTCTACCTTTTCCCCTCCTTTTCTCTTTTTCTTCTAAGTCTTTATACGACCTACTTCTGAGAAATGGCTTGCTGGGATTTGGGGTGTGGTCAAACCTTTAGAAGAATTTTAAGTATTCTTCCCAAATGCAGCATATATGACCTTGAATATGAGACAGGGTTTCATATTCAAGGTGGTCTTGCCTGTCCTGGACTCGCTTTGTAGACCAGGCTGGCTGTGAACTCAAAAATGATCCTGCCTCTGCCTCCCTGAGTGCTGGGACTAAAGGTGTGCATGCCTGGCTTTATTTTTAATACAGTGCCTTTCACTCTTGTGGCTTTTTTCTTTTTCTTTTCTTTCTTTTTTTCTTTTTTTGAGACAGAGTGTGGCTATATATATTCCAGGCTGGCCTTAGACTTGTGATTCTCCTGCCTCAGCTTCCCAAGTGCTGGGATTACAGATTCTGTATTTCTGTATTTTGTCAGCGGGGTGCAGCTATTGTCTCATTTGGTGATGAAGTAAGAACTGTTTTGTGTATTTTATAGGTGAGGAAACATTTAGGTTATTGACACTTGGCAGAAGTGACGTGGTTTAGAAGTCAGATGGTTAGACTTCAAACTCAGGACTCCTGATTGCAGAGCCCCGCTTTTTTACATTCCAGTGTTTTTAACAGCTGACCATAGATTGATCACAGCATGTATGTAAATATCCTGCTAACATTGACCTCTGAGGTGCCCAGTTTTCTATAAAGTAATGTTTTGTGTGCATTCACTTCATAAGTTTAGGGGTTGGTTTGGGGATATAGATAGGAATCTAAAATGTATAATATAGGGGCTAGAGAGATGGCTTAGTTAAAAGCACTTATTCTCGCATAGGACCCAGATTGAGTTCTTGATGTATTTACAGTTCCATGGGATCTGGTGCCCTCTTCTGACTTCTCCAGGCACCAGGCACACATGTGGTACACATACACTCACGCAGGCAAAACACTCACACAGAGACTAAAACATAAGGATTATTTTAACAGACAGTATAGTTATTGTGCCAAGTGAAATTGTGGAGGTATACATGAGACACTCAAGCGTAAGAAGGAATGCCTCATGAAATTAGGTCTTAATTAAAACTTCAGAAAAAAGTTCTGCTGTGTTGTTGTCCAGGAACGGTCCTGGGTGTGAGATGCGGGGATGGGGGGGAGGGCTCAGAAAATAGCACCAAGCCATGGGGAGATAGTGGGAGGCAGCTCTTACAGGGTTCCATGGAATTGAGGCATCGACCGCGAGAAGGTGGTGAGCAGGCACACTGGGAATAAAAACTGAGGCTTGTTTGAAATGAGCTCTCGCTATGGTAGCCCTGGCTGTCTGGCTGCCCTGGGACTCTTTGTATTCAGGCTGGCCTCAGACTTTCAGATTCCTCTTGCCTGTCTCCCAAGTGCTAGGGCCCCCTACTTCAATCTTGACTAACTTTTTTTTTTGTTCTGGTTTTTTTGAGAGAAGGTTTCTCTGTGTAGCCTTCGCTATCCTGGACTTGCTTTGTGGACCAAGCTGACCTTGAACTCACAGCGATCCACCTGCCTCTCCCTCTCTGAGCACAGGCATTAAAGGTTTACACCATCACTCCCTGCTAAACTTGATTAACTTAATCCAGTTCTAACATCAGCTGTGAAGCCAGAGGGTAGGAGACATGTCCTTGGTCTCCAGCTTGGGGCAGGGTTGATTTTGGGATTGGACTCAGAACAGGTTTTAGAAAAGGCAAGATGAGGTGTTTGGGATTGTTGAAGATGTACTTGGTCTTATGGTGCGGTTGTGTTGGTAGGGTGCTTGCCTAGCAGGCACGAGCCCCTGAACTCCACTCCCAGTTCCTGCATATTCTTAGCTGCTGTGGTCGAGAGTGCAGGACTCAGATAGCCCTGGGTGCTGTGTTGGGTGAAGGCAGGAAGGCATCTCCTTGCTACATGTACAGTACCGCAGACCTGCTTCTGGGAGCGTTGTTTTCCTCAGAGAGGCAGGTAACACCTAGGCTCACCGTGTTTTTGGTGTTATGCCCTCTAAAGGAAAGGAAAGTAGCCTGAGGGCATGGAGAACACTGGGGGCAGTTTTAGGGGTGGCTTTTGTTTTCATTTTATTTATGTGTATGCCTGAGTGTAGATGTGAATAGGTGATTGTGAGCCATCATCAGGTGTTAGGAACTGAACCCGGGTCTTCTATAAGTGCTTTTAACCACTGAGCCATCTCTTTAGCCCCAAAACATTGGGGAAATTAAAAAAATATATATTATTTTTAGATAGGGTCTCAATGTGCAGCTCTGGCAGGTTTGAACGGTCTGTATACCATAGACTGGCCTTAAACTCACAGAGATCCACCTGCCTCTGCTTCTGAGTGTTGGGATTAAAGTCAGTTATTATCACAACTGTCATGTTTGAGGGGCGAGAGGCCTTGCTACATAACCCAGGCTTGCTTCAAATCCCTGAGCTCAGATCATCCTGCCTCAGCCTCCTTAAAAGAAGGTGTCTTGTGCATGCGTGCCCGCACAATTATGAAGACCATAGGTAGATGTCAGGAGCCTTTTTGCTTGCTTGGCACCTTATTTTTTGAGGTAGGGCTTCTCATTTGTCTTAG